GTTCTGTCGGAATGAATTTATCCTTATCTGCACCATTATGGTCACTAAATAAATAATAAATTATTCAAAAGATTCAACAAAGGAGGTGTTGCAGGAAGAAGCCACTGTTAAAAATCACATGATTTCTTGGATTATTCTCTCCACTGAAAAAGTCTTCCTGTCCGTTCAACTTAGTATTATATGAAGAGACATCATCTTCTTAGTCTTCAGTTTTTATTTTTTTTATTTATTTTTTTCCCCCTCTCTGTTGTGATACCGCATAGCTATCCTTAGACTGTATGTAAATTTAACTGTGTTTACTTATCTGTAATTTTTTTTTTTTTTTTTTTTTTTTTTCATTTCAGAAAAAAATATATCTATATCACATTCTTATATTTAATCTGTTTCCTCCCTTTTATGTCCAGACACTTGCTTGGAGGCAATTCATTGAAAATGTCTGAGCTAATCAATCTTTTAGCCATCTGCTCACTAGACTATTAGAAAGTTCCCACAACTAGTAAATTGATATTGCACCCTTGAGAAGGGGCTATGCCAAGCAAACAACCAAGCCTTATATGGCATTCAAACCCAGAACCTTGGTTTCAGGCTATCAGTCAGCTTCCTGTAACCACTGTATACACAGTGTAACAGTATATTCAATCCTTTGGCTTGGAGGATAGACTTGTACATCAATAATTTTTAGCATGATAGACTTCTGGAGGCCAAAGAAGTACAACACAATAAGCAGTAGCACATTAGCATCTATTTTCTAATTTACACTCATGTCCATAAATTAAGGATAATGCAAAATCAGGCAAAGGAAGAGTTAGAAGCAAACAATTTGACTTATTTGTAAAGCTTATATATTAAACAAAAGGTAAAGAGCAAAAAAAAAGATGCTATATGCTTGATATTATTAAAAAAATTAGCGATTTTTTCTCCCTGGAGCAAATTGCAAAAAAAAAAACCTATTTACAAAAACCAATATTACATGGTTGGTATGATTGTTAATACATTGTATGTCTCCCAGACGATGCAATACAGTCCGTACATTGCCTAGGCATGCTGAGTATCAAATTATCAATCTGATCTTGAGGGATATTACACCGCTCAAAAAGCAATGCTCTACGAAGTTCCGGTAGACATGTAGGAGGAGGTTGACGGGCTGCAACTCGTCGGCCAAGCATGTCCCACACATGCTCTACTGGATTCAAGTCCGGTGATAATGCTGGCCAGTCCATACAGGTGATATTCTCCGATTGAAGGCATTCGCTTACGATGTTTGCACGGTGAGGACGGGCGTTGTCATCCATAAACACAAATTCTGTGCCCATGGCGCCCCGAAACAAACGTACATGTTGTTCCAGAATGACGTCTCGATAGATATGGCTTGTCATGGTTCCAATTTGAGCATACAGGTCAGTTTTGGAACCCAAAATAATTCCATCCCAAACGAGCACTCCTGCACCACCGTAACGGTGTCGTTCAATGATGTTTTCTTGGCGGTAACGGGTACCTGGAGCTCTCCATATGAAAGTCTGGCGAGAATCAGACTGCAAGCTAAACCTGGACTCGTCAGAAAACATCACACAAGCCCAAGCCCACTGTTGCGGTGTCCACAATGCATGCTCTCTACTCCAGGCTAACCGCAGGCGACAGTGAGTTGCAGTGACGAACGCATCCGAGATGTCTACAAGCATGTTGACCAATCTGCCCTAAGCGTCTGTACACAGTCTGCCTTGAAATTGTTGTACCAGTGGCTGAAGAGATCTGACGAGACAGGTCTGAGGCTGTGCTCCGCCTGTTTCTTTTGGCAATAACTGCTAAATACCGGTTCTAATTCGGCATTGTTACTCTGGGGCGACCTGTGCTGTAACATCTACTCACATTACCATCATCTTGGAATCGTCCCCAAAGCCTGGAGATGACACTCTGGGCAATTCCAAGTTCATCTGATACTTCCAATTGGGTACGCCCACATTCCAGACGGCCGATAATTCTACCACGTAAAAAATCATCCAAATGCGTCCTTTGTGTCATAACTATTCGGTTATTGCACTGAAATGCTTATAAAGCACCTGCAAACAATTTTACTTCTTTGCCTGTATTCCTTATATATCAATCTCGTCATTGTGACGTACCATCGGTGTCATCTGGTTACTTCCTGAAATTTGCATATGATTCTTGAAGATGTGTGTAGTGATTTTACAGGTGATATATTTATTTTAGAGTTCGATTTCCGCGTGACTCCGAATTATCCTTAATTTATGGACATGAGTGTATTTAAATAATATTTTTGAAACACTCATTTGCGTATTCCAATGTACTTTACTGAGTTGAAGTTCCAGTGACTAGTTACTGAAATTAAAATATCTCAGTGACAGCATGAACGAAAGCAGAAATGTAAACACACATTCTGGAGTTTCCAAAAAGATAGCCTTACTCATAACAGAAGCTGCACGTAGACCCAGATTCAGCAAATGATTTGTGTGTTCTATACATTCTTCTTTTTCCTTGGTTTACCTTGTGCATTTCTCAGTGCCTGTAAGTTGAATATACAGTAAAACATTATCATATGCTTATCCTCTACAAGTTTGGGTATGAGTCCTGTCCTCCATTAATTTCTGCAAAATCATATTTGAAATATTGGTGGTGGTTTTACCTGGTATTCAATGAAAAAATTAATTATTCTACAGTCTTTACCTTCAGTCATAAATTAACGTGAGCTTGGCTGATTTTATATACCTAGAGTACTATCAAATGGATCAGAAATATAGTTTGTTTCTTTAAACTGTTCCAAAACTTGCTGCCTTTTTTACTTCATATTTCTATAAATTGGTTCTGGATAGCGCAAACAGAAAAAGAGACAGCAGATGATAAATAAACCTCGTCTTTTTAAGCATCTAAACGATCTAAAAACAAAATTTTAATTGCTGCATAAGGTATTAATTTTAGAAAGTTAAAGTATGTGTGATTAAAAAATACTTGTCTTTTATATAGATTCAACTAATTAAAAATTAAAATGCTGTTCAATCCTAGTTTACATCCAGTGTTGGTAAATGTGTTCCACAGCATGACCCTGGTCTGAATTTACTTAAAAAAAAAAATTATGAAAGCTGGTGATAAATCAGGCATATTAGTAGGAAAAGCCATGCTTCGTTGCAGTTTAAACTGACTATACGATGTGCTTTTAAGAAATTGCTACTGCAGTATAAGCAATAAAAGAGTTTGTCTAGCCATGCTTTACCTTCTCTAAAGTTAAACTGCAAGTGATAGAAAAAGTTGATTTTTTTTATTTCTGTTTTTATTTTTTAGCTGAAAGTTTAGTTGCTGGAAACTAATTAGTAAAAATTATCCTATTCATATAAGTAAATATGGCAAATAAATGTACGTAAGTAAAGATATGGTAAAATTACCATATTCACATAAGTAAAAGGATTGTGAAAACTGTTGTCCTAAAAAATGTGTCATCCAGGATAGACTGCCACTTCCAGTTATGCCAGTATTCCCAAGTGATTTTAATTTTGTCTCCCATGCCTTACATAAATTACCCATAACCTCCCATGCTTTACATGATTAAATAATTAATCATAATTTATTACATAATTAAATACCTAATGATAAATTGCCATTCTGTATTACACACATTCATCATAGCTGTGATATAGTGTGTAAATATCATTTAAGAGTGATAAGTATATTTCATTTTGTATTATACAGGTTATTCAAAATGCTGTAGATATTTTATAATAAGCTTACAATAAGTCAATTATAAACCAACACTTATTAGAATAAATTTAAAGGAAATAATTGTTCGATATGACTTTGAGTCATGGGGATAATGTTCAGATAATAATCCATTTCTTCCCACAGTCATTTGAGTATATCTGGTGTTACTAATTTCAGAGATTTACCTATGCATGGTTATAGATACTCCAAGTTGTATGGCAGTGATGGCATGTACACTTTGTGCTTCACAAAGTCATACAAGAAAAAGTTACATGTGGTAATGTCTGGTGATCTGGCAGACCAAGAAGACATCTCTTTCTTATTTGTTTCAGCATGGCCAATCCAATGAGTAGGAATCACCTTCTTGAAGTATTCACACACGTCCAACTTTTACCATCCTGCTAAAAGACAAAATTATCCGAGTGTTCTGTAGTTACATTAAAAGCCAGATCTTTAAAATATCAAAATATGTGTCACCATTCACTCTCTTGCACAAAAAAGAATGGCTCATACAATTTGTTATCTGAAACTGCACAAAACACAGATTCCTGCTCCATAGTGCAGTGAATATTTTATGTCCCCCCAGATTCGCACATTATTTTAGTTGATTTTCCCACTGATATGAAATGTTGCCTTGTCAGTGAATGCAAGGCGGGGGGGGGACCATTCTCATGTTCACATTTGCCCTCCATTTATTGGTCCTCAACTCTAGAAAAAAAAGGTTGAGTCATCTGTAATTTGTAAGGCTTAATTTGCAACCATTTTCTCAGAACATACCACACGATTGTTTATTGAATTTCCATTTCATAACTCGCTTCATTAATTAATTTTGGGCTGCACAGAAACGTCACTCTTATCTTTTCCACATTCTCATTACTAACACGTTGCGTCCATGTGATTTTGCCTCTTCAAAGACAGCTTCTTTCTTCAAATTGGTGATACTACTTTCGAATGCTTTTGCCAGTTGGACTATCTTTTCCAAATCGTCTATGAAATGCACATTGTGTCAAAATTAAAGATTATAATTTCGCATATTGCTAGATGCAAAATGCCTTTTCTTCTTGAGATGGAATTTTTCATTCTAGCATTCATAGTGCCATCACACCTTCTGGACTCAGTACATGCTGCAGGGAAAACAAAATATTTTAAACCCATTCTGGTATATCTCTGTTTAAAAACAAATTTATTACAGTCTTTTTAAAATGTTGTACATCATTTTGAATAACCCTCTTTTTTCTCTTATAAAGGTTTGAAACAGTAGTCTTTTTATAATAATTTTAAATTATTTTCAGCTATCCCCAAGCAACATTTTTGAAGTACTTCATGCTTCTGATATGTTTCTTTTACCGGGATTGAAAAGGTTGTGTGCTGTTACCGTCAAAGAAAATTTAACAGTTGACAATGTTGTTGAAGTTACAAAACTAGCGCGTTTATATAATTTACCGCGACTAGAAACACACTGTACAGAATACATGGCTATACATTTAGAAAAGGTAAGATTTTTTTCCCTTGCTAATAAAATGACTAGTGAAGAATTTACAAAAATACTGTGAGTTGTCCTTACAGTTATTATATAATTAAAGCAGTCAGTGTAAGTTAAAAATCATAAATATGCATGAAAATAGATTTTAGAAAGGTCTAAGTGGCTATTTTTTTTTTAAATTTTGATGAATTAATAATTATTAGTATAACTTTTATTTATATATTATTTAAAATAATGCTAAGCTGTACATAATAAGAGCTGACAGTGAGAACATGTGTACCTTATACTGATCATCTTCCTAAGAACACCACCTCTGAAAGTGACCAGAATTTCTAAGAAAAGAATGAAATCTGAAAATTTCAGATTAACAACTGGAACAAGAGTTGACTGCTAAAAATATTTTAAAGTTATACAAGTACTTTCTCTTTTTTAAAGTAAAAGTAATATCTTATAATTTTAATTCATTAAACAAAATTTTTATTGCTGTTGGATAAAATTAAAGATTTTAAATATAGTAAGAAAGAATTTAAATACTGAAATTTTCTACATTTGTTTCTGTATTTCTTTTATGAGCATAGAATAATGTAAACAAAAGAATATATAAATATTAAAAAATATATATGTTATTCTTTGGACAAAATTAAAAGTTGATATATATATATATATATAATATTGTATGATCTTAAATTCATTTAGTGCGAAAACAAGTTACTACTACTTGTGCAATTGCTGCAAAGTAAGTTAATAATAATTTATTTCCTAAACAATATTGATTAATTGATTATATTATCTCCTAAGTTTAATTAAAGTAGAATTATTTTAAAAGAGTGAATCCATACTGGTAAGTTATATTTTGAAAGGTGTTTTGAAGTAACTTGAAAGTAAAATGTTAATAATGTTTTAACGGGGACTGGAATTAAATCATCATGAAGAACAAAATTTCAATTGTAAAAGGAAAAATTAAATTAAAAGCATGTAATCATTGTCATTGATCGGAAATTAGTTGACTTTTCAAGGGGAACAAACCAACTCCCATTGAACGAACAATAATTTATAAATAAATATGTAAATACGAAGGTGTTTCGTCTTTATTCGAGTAATAAGTTAAACCAAACCGGCAATTCTAGTCAGGCCAAATATTTCCGCGAATAGAAGGGAGTATGAACCAATGCTGATACTCAAAGAATTTATTCTTATGAAGCATTTTAGCCAATTCAATTTTGAGTGAAAAGCAATTTCTGTAGAGAAATCTGAAAAAACTCGAGTAACCGTCTCTGACACCCCCGTGTTTATGCATTTGAGTTCTATATTATTTGTAAAAATTAAACATTTGGAATTGTCATTATGAAATAGAATTCAAAGTATAAAGTTGAAATAAACATAGAAGGTTACAAAATAAGATAAATAATGCAAACTTTGTAAAAACAAATCAAAAATAATATAAAAATAAAAAATATAATAAGAACTGTGAATGTACATGAAGATATAAAGGCCAGAAAAAGTATTAAGTAACTTACCTTCTTTCTAGTGGGGGAGTCGGCAAAGTGTTCTCTTCGCATCTGACTCAGAAGTGTAGGGTGTCCGAAAAATTCTTAGCGGCAGTGGGGGCTTTGAATAATATCAGTCGGTTAGACTTGGGTGAAGTAATTTATGGTAGTGGGTGGGACTCGGAATTCTTGAGGGGTGTATTATGTGGAGTGCTTATTTGAGTGAAACTGTCTGTTAAGATTTTTTTTGAAAATACCAGTGAATGGAAATTAATGAATTTCTGGCTAATTGTCATGTCGCAATGATTAAGAATTTAAGAAAGGAAAAAAGGAATTTTCACTGTCTAAGAGCTATTAGACAGACTAAAGATTATGAAATAGGCCCCCCCCCTTTTTTTTGAAACAGCATAAGTCTGAAGAAAATTACCTTTTTACAATATATACAACTGAGTAATTACACTATATACAAATCCTTCAACTGATAGTCATCCATCTTATACCGCCTTCTCAGGTTTAGGAACAAATTATCATATCCCTATCAGTTAAATATTTAGAGTGAGTATTTAACGCCTGCTCTTTTAAGGCAATGGTTAATAGTAAATTGAATGAGTATTAGATTATTTTTGAAAATTTTAATAAGGAGCAAAATTTCGCATTGTAAATCTATTGTATCTGTGCAGATAATTTTAATTCTTTGTATTTGATTTATTATTGTATTGTTAATTACTTTTTTGGATATGTTGGAGTTCCAATTTATTAATTTGTTAGTATTGAAATTGAATTTTTTTGTCAAAAAGTAATTTTTTTTTTTTTTTTTTTTTTTTTTTTGTAGTTAATGATTTGAAGATCTAGATAGTCTATGCTATTTTGTGAATTATTAGTTTTATTAAGTGTAAGGCAATTTGGATAAATCTCTGAGTGTTCAATTTTACCAAAATTATTAATTGTAATAAGGTCATCAATATATCTGTATGTGTGGTTGTAGTAATTTAACTCTTGTGGTTGTAAATTTTTATGGAAGTTAAATTCTTTGATAAATAAAAAGATATTACAGATCAAGGTGCTAGAATGTAAGCCCATTGGCAAACCTCTGACTTGTTTAAAAAGTTGATTTTGAAACTTGATGTAGTTATGAAAAAGTGTGCATTTTAGGTAGGTTTTCTATTTGTTAAGAGTCATAATTTTGAGCACATCAGGGAATAGTTTAGGCAGATCAAGTAGACTGGTATAGATTTCTTCAAGAGAAAGTGAGGTATATAAGTTTTCAAAGTCATAGCAGTTAATGTTTTGGATGTTAATTGTTTGAATGGCATTAATGAAAGGAGTGTTATTATGGATGATCCAGCAATAGTTATGATTAGTGTTACAATCGTTAAAAATAACTTTTTACAGATTTTATTAAGTTGAATTGAAAAATAATAGTCAAATTCAGTCAAAGTATTGCAGTTGCAGTCTTGAAAATTAATAATAAAATTAAATTTTTGCAGCTTGAAGCAGAATTTTTGGAAGTCAATATACTACAGTCTAAATTTAAGTATTTTTTGTTTATTTATACTGTGAGTAATCTAAAACTGTAATTTTTTTTTATATATATCGTAATCATGAAAATACTATAGTTGCCTGCTTGAAACCACATTAAAGATCATTATTTCATTGCAGAAATGCATTGTATTTATTTTTGGTATCTTTCAGGTTATACACGAACCAAATTTTATACACCTTGTTCATAGTGATGCTCATGAAATACAGCAGCGCCAAGAAACTGATACAATACCCGTGATTGATGATATCCGTTACCATATTGAGAGCTGCGTGCATGTATCTTCTTCTAAAGAAAAGCTTGCTCTAATAGATAAACTCCTAGCAGTCTTAGAGTTAGAGGCTTGATGTATTTAAAAAATTTTTATTATGTTGAAATATACTTTTACAGAATCATGCACATTAAAGTTATGTTATATTGCTTTTGTCTCTAATTTGTTAATCTGCAACTGATTTAATTCTAATTTCATGACTAAAAGGAACTTTCTTAAATTCTAACATAAAAATATCTCAGAATTTTATACTAAAAGGTCATGTATATATACATATTTAGGAATTTATTATATGGAATATTGTATCACTTTAGCTGAAAATAAAAAATATGTAATTAATATTTTTGTATTATTCCTTCTGTTAGTCTTATCACAATGAAAGTTTCTGTGAAATAAAGGATGCATACTTTGAAAAATGTATTGCATTAATTTACTGCAGTAAAAGCCTGACTACCTAGCATTCAGCTAACCAGAAAGCTCAAGTAACCAGGATATTTTTAGAAACTTTTATCTTCAGAATTAAGCAAATAAGAGATATATAGTTCCGTTATAAAGCACGAATAGGAGTACAATCCAAATCAAATTTCACTAGTTTAATTTTTCCTTTTCACTTTTAATTTTTAAAAAAAAATGTTTGTATGTTTTCATATTACAAAAGTAATAGTATTTATTTTCATAATTTTTTTAAGTGGTTTTTGTCTTTCCGTATTTTACTTCGAAAGCAAATTTTAATTTCTTTTTACATTCCGTTTTTTAAAAATGTAAATTTTTTATACGTTTAAAATTTTTTCTCATCATATTTTTATTTTACAAATATTTCTTTGCTTACGAAATTCAAGCTGGAATTTCCATGCATATCGATTTACTCTACAGGCCTTCGTGGGTAATATTTTCTGAAACTTTAAACCACACATATTCATTCTACACAATTTGCTGGGAATATTAGATTTCTAATTTTATTTATGTTTCTACTATTACTAAATCAGAGGTACTCAGAATTTTTTTATCTATTATTTTGTACTAACTTCTACTGACTGTACTATTTTATATATTTTTTAAAAATATATCATGCAAAACAACAAGTATTCTCATTTACATTCTCTTTTACACATGGTACTTCTATTTAAAGGATTTACCAAACTATGTCTATGGAAATGTAAATTTTTATTAGAAACTCAATATAGAAGAGAGTGGTTACTTAGGTTAGCATGCATGAGAACAAAATAACACACAACATACCTTTTGGGAGTTTGGAACACAAGTGAGTTTTAATTAATATGCACAGTTATAGAGATATATAAACCAGTGGCACCATCTATGGGCCAAGAATATATTTAAACCTAACCTTTTTACACTCCCACTTTAGGTTTAAATGTCAAGCATCATCCTGATTAAATACAATAAGAAATTACATCAGCGCACATACATATGATAAAATATTAAATTACATTCGTCATTGTAAACCCATCATCCTTGTGCACATTTCATGTTTTGCACTATTTACATTTTTTGTCAAAAAATCTGCAATCATATGATTAGTAGTCACATATTGTACAAATACAATGATCAGGGGCATAGCCAGAGTTTCCAGCGCCTGGGGACAACTGAAGAATTTTCTCTCCTTTATGTGTACCAAGAATGGAAAACATTTCATTAAAAAATTTTGTAGCATCAATTTGACGCCGCTTGGATGCTGCGCCGAGGTAAAGATGTCCCCCTTGCCCCACCCTAGCTATGCCACAGACGATGCAAAGATTTCTGTGTTTTACTTATTTGAAGTTTCAGTTTATTTTACATTTATTACTATTAAACATGAACATGAGTAACACGTCAGAAAAATCTATAAATATAAATCGTATTCAACGATTGGAAGATACAAATTTAATTAACTTTTATTCTTTTTTTTTTTTTTTTTTTTTGTGTGTGTGTGTGTGTGAAAAATAAAGAAATGAATTAAGTGCCTGTTATCTGAGTATTCCCTTCCAGTGAATCCTTGCCGGATTTTTTTAGAATTGACTTTCAGTGGCAGCCTGATAGGGAACAGGTAGCTTTTGTTCCTTACTAGTTGGTAACTGCAGTTTAGATAACACTTGATTTTGGTCTAATGATGTTTTTACACCATAAGATTCACGCATATTATGTTTTTGAAACATACTCTCTATATACTAAGTTTGACTGAGGCTAATCAAGCTTTTAGCAACCATAAACAATTTTTATGACAACAACACTGAATAATCTTTTTGTTGTCATTCCAAAAACAACAAAAAAACAAATAAAACGATATTAATCAGTATTTAAAATTTCTGCATAAGTTCAAGCCACAACAGTACTCCCTTCCCAGTAACTAAGTTACAGTAGAGCATATTATCACCTTTAAAACACACTACTTACAAAAAATATTATTGATACATGTAAATGCTAATCCCGTCGCACAGAGGGTTTCATTGTCCGTCCTATACGCAACGGTTTTGCTGGAAGCTTTTTAATTTTAGAAGGTAAATCTGTTGGAGGATTGTCAGGTTGTCTTACTGACATTGTTGATTGCTTCGTGGTACTGTTTGGTATTTCCAAGAAATATGCAGGCTTTAATCCATTATTAGACACTGTAACATCTTTGTGATTGTTTTTTAGTGTAAATTATTTTTCTTTTCTGTTAACCACTTGAAAAGGACCATCGTAAGGAGGTTCTAATTGCTTTTTAACTCTATCTTTGTGAATAAAAGCATGTGATGTTGTTTTCAAGTCTTTAGGGACGAATATTTTTTGGACTGTTGTTCTTGGTCGGAATTTGTTCCATAGTTTTTTTTAGCTGCTTGACAAAAATATCAGGTGGTGTAGGAGTTGTGCTATCTGGGAAAAATTCTCCAGGTAATCGTATATTTTGTCCATAAACCATTTGAACAATGTGTATGCAGAGTCTTCTTGCATAGCTGAGCGTAAGCCAAGAAGAACAGTTGGAAGTGTTTCACTCCAGGCCCAAGCTATTGTGGGTAGAGCTGGAGCAAATCGCATGTATTCGTTACCGAGTAACGGGTACATCGGTTGACTCGAAGTACCGATTCGGTACTCACAAATTCATTTCGTTACTCGCATCTGTTCGTTACTCGCATTTGTCGTATGATGCGGTTTATTCGAGTACGAATGATGCGGTTGCTATTCGAATACGTATGATGCGGTTGCTATGCGAATACGAATGATGCGGTTTCAATGCGAATACGAATGATGCGGTTGCTGTTCGAATACGAATGACACATTTGCTAACAATACCCGTGTGCCACATTTTTCATTGATAATTTCGAATTTTTTTGGTTAATTCATCGGGCAAACTCTTGTTTACATTATGTGTTTTAGTTGAAATATTGTTTAGTTGTTGATATTTAAGAAAATGATCAATTTTGATAGCGTGAAGCGTTATTTTGTATTTGCTTTTTTTCATTACGATTTATAGTGCACATTTAGATTTATAGTGCATATTATGTTTCTAATTTGAAAATTTAGATGATTATTGAATTTTTTCCGTGAGCAAGCCATGGTGAGATTTTATTGATTTGAAATATTTATATACTGCACTTAGGTATTGTTTATGTAAGAATATGTAGGTTAACATAAGTTCTTTACTTCCTTGTACGAAATAAAAAGGAAGTAAGTATTGTAATCGAGAAAACTTTCGGGTATCATATTTCAACGGAAATATCCATTTTTTACGATTACGGAATCCATGTGAATTATTTTTTTTGGGTGACGTCTGTACGTACGAACACAATGAAGGACTCTTTTTTTTTCTTTTTTCCAAAAACGGATTGTTAAATGTAATCCCATTTACTCTAAGCTGATACTTATGACTAATGATTATGACTCTAAGTTGATACTTGAAAAGGGATTTTTTTCGTGATGTGTAAGTACGTATATATGCATTTCGCATAACTCAAAAACGATTAGTTCTAGAACGTTGAAATTTTGTATATGGGCCCGTTATAACATCTAGATGTGCACCTCCCTTTTTATTGCAATCGGTAATACTACAAAACGTAAATATGTATATTTTAAATAAATTATAATTAAATGTAAAGTACATATATATATATATCCTTAAAATTAAATGTAAAGTACATATATATATATATCCTTAAAATTAAATGTAAAGTACATATATATATCCTTATAATTAAATGTAAAGTGCACACATATATAAATATAAAATAAAAGCCTTGGTTTTTATTTTATTTATTTATTTATCACTAAGTAAGTTACTTGACTGTTATTATTTTACCAGAGTATAGATAGAAATTTGGTTATGTAGCCTATTCTTCTAAAACGACGTTTCGTCGCTGCCTTACCCCAACAATTCCCTTTTTTTTCGGTTTCGGATTATTTGGTTACGGCAATGCACACTAGCCTAAGGGAAGGGATGCCTTCGTGGAGGACTTTTTAAAGGAACTGGCTCATATGCAAGTTACACAGGGGGAAAGCCACGAAAACGCCCGTGCATCCAGCCGTTAGCCGGGAATTGAACCCCGGAACGAACTATTAGTCTTCAGCGACTTTACCGCTCGAGCGCTGGTGGGCTCTTCGATGTTTGAAAAATAGGTGTTCACTTTACGATAAAGCAAGCACCTGTTTTCTTCAATTAAAACAGGTTAGACGATATGACTCTTACTACTTCATTCTCACTTAGCTTTTGATTTCTAATATTGATTCAATATTTTCTGTAGACATTCTGATTAGAATAATGGATTTCAAACATGTGCAAAAGGTGTGTATCTGAATATAATTAGGTTTTTATAACATAGGGCCCATTTTATTAATTTATAAAACAATATTATCGCTGTTTAGAACCACATTATCGCTGTTTTGAAAGAAAGCAAAAATGTGACAAATGTATAATGAACATTAATATACATGCTTTACTAGAAATTCACCCTTTCGTCATTAGCGGTTCTGATGAAAGGAATGGGGAGAAGCAGCAAACGAAATAACGAATAACGGACAAATAACGAAATCTAATCTTTAATGCCGGTCTCCCAGTTTCTTTAGCCCACCAGCGGCGAGCGGTAACGTCGTTGAACACTGGTAGTTCGGTCTGAGGTTCGAATCCCGCGAACGGGCTGGCTGCATGGGTGTTTTCGTGGTTTTCCCATGTGTAACGTGTATACGAGCCATTTCCCTTAGAAAGTCCTCCACGAAGGCATCACCTCCCCATCCCCCTTTAGGCAGATAGCCCTAGTGTGCTTTGCCATAATTAAATACACCAACACCAACCCAGTTTCTTTATTTGTATTTGGGAAAGTTTTATTGTCATTATGAAAAGTGAAATTTGATATGGATACCGCATAACTTTTTAAATTATGCTTATTTTTGCTGCACTTCATTTAAACTTATTTCCTCGAACTTATTCTAACTTAAGGGGACTCATACACCTTAAAACCCATGAGATGTTCGAATAGGTGACTGTTGCAAGAATTGGGATAACTTATTTATTTTAAAAGCAATTACTACCAACTTTTTACAGCTGACTACATTATATAGCTGCTTTCTAAAATAGTAATCAGAAAGTTTGTGTTACCCCAAACATTTTTATAATTTAATCCGCTTTTTGACAACATTTTTCGTCACGTTTCCAACTTGCGCGCACAGTTTAAAACATTCTTTTTCATAATTTAATTCCATATTTAATATATAGTTTTTATAAAATTTGGAAACTACTGTGAACCTAAAATTCTAAAAATTTCATGTTAAACTTTTATTTTATTTTGAGTTGAGTTTATAAAATGTATTTTATTTACAAAATTTGTAATGTTTTCGTCCATAAAATTTTTTCAGTATTAAAATATTCACCAGATTGTTGGTTCAGTTAGAAAATAGTGCCCGTATAAAGAATTCCATCAAATTTCAAGTATGTACCATTAACCATTTTTAAAATAGCATGCGCGCAAGGTGGAAACATGGTGAAATATTTTGTCACAAAGAGGATTAAATTACAAAAATATTTGTGGCAACACTAACTTTCTGGTTACTAGTTTCCAAAGCAGCTATATTATGTAGTCAGCCGTAAAACGTTGGAAGTAATTGCTTTTAAAATAAGTAAAATATCCTAATTCTTGCAACAGTCACATTTTCGAAGATCATGAGGGGTTTAATGTATATTAGTCCCCTTAATTAAGCGATACCCAAAGGCAAGTTACAAATGGCATCAAACACTGCAAATTTTAAAATTAAATTTCCCGGTCAATCTCTGTCTACGGGACTCAAACTTCTTGTATTTTTATTTTTTCATAACGAGTATAAAACTTTCCAGCTATAAATATAGGAACCAGAAGACAACATTAAAAGTTAGATTACATAATTTGTCCAAAATTAATTCTTTTTAAAATTTGACATTGACAAAATATGAATGTTTTCGTCATTTAAAATACTTCTGTATTTTTGTTGCACCGTATTTAAACTTGCTTCTTCGAGTTATTGACATTAAATTACATTAATTCCGTTATCTATTAGAAAATAATTATAGCAAATCATCTAATTACGACATCTCTAAGAGGTCACTTTCTAAGAGATCTGTATTTTTGAGAACATAAACAAACATTGGTAGTGAACATCACCTTTTTAAGACCACGACATGTAAAATCCTCTAAAAAGCATAAATGGTTACATTTAAAGAGGACCCATTGCTTTTAATAAAGAATGTAACATTAATGTTAATTATACATGTTTTTGGTGTGTGTGTGCCAAAATAGTGATACCGTGGTTCTGTTGCTTTAGAAATGTGTGAAATTAAAAAAATGGATACTATATAACAAAAATGTTGTTATATTTAGATACAACACCTTCTGAACTGAACACGTCTGAAATTCATTCTTCTGCTCAGCATAATTCGTATTCTCTGCATAAAATAATAAATAGCATTAGAAATCAAAAGCTAAGTCGAAGTAGAAACAGTCATCTCTTCTAAACCATTTTAATTGAAGTAAACAGACGTTCGTCTTATCGTAAAGTAAACACCTATTTTTCAAACAGCGGATAAAACGGGAAAGAGGGAATTGGTAGGGGAAGGCAGCGAACGAAATGACACTTTTTGGAGCTGGAATGAAATGAGAAAGGACGAAAAGGTACTAAGCCAATAAGACAAGGTCTGGTATTTTACTTTATAATTTAAGAATTATTTTAATTTTTATTTATCTTTACATTTTTGTTAAATTTTACTTATAAGTATTTTATATTTCACTTGCTAATTATTATGTTACTTTAATTATTCATTATTTTAATCACTATTTTTATTATTAAGTTTTTTACAAAGTAATTTTTTATTATTTTAATTACTAATTAATGTTATTATTCTAATATTTATTTTATTTATTTATTTATTATTTTATTTTTCCCTATTTTCCTGACGGCCTTCCGTAGGCGCTTCTGACTTCTGACTTTTGTGACACCACAAAAAGAGGTGAATTATTTCCATCCAAAAATACGACGTAAAACTCCCTATCGCATAGGGCCGTATACCGATAAAATAGGCTCAGGATACGAATACCGATGGATTTTACCGAAAGTAACGAGTAACGATACGATAGTAACGAGTACTGGTTCACCGAGTAACGAATACATACGGGTACACAATTTCTCGTTACTTCTACAGCACTGATTGTGGGCCATAAGTGCGGTCTTGAGAGATCTATGTAGGCGCTCGACCTTCCCATTTGCTTGGGGGTGGTAAGCCGTTGTATGTTGCAATTTTATTCCACACATTTTTGACAGGTTGTTGAACAACTCTGAACTAAACTGTGCTCCACGATCTGTGACTAGGTGACATGGCGTTCCAAATTTTGAAATCCAGTTAGAATAAAATGCTTTCGCAACTGTGTCTATGGCAATGTTGTTAAGTGGAATCCTTTCCATCCAGTTAGAGTACCGATCAATACAAGTGAGACAGTAAATATTCCCGTTTGATGGTGGTGGGGGTCCAATGAGATCAATATGCATGTCCCAAAATCTTTCTGAAGGCACTTGAAAATCACCGAAACTTGATTTTTTGTGCCGATTAATTTTACTTTTTTGGCAAGCCATGCAAGATCGAGTCCAAAGCTGCACATCTTTACGGATACTTGGCCAAATAAATTTAGATGATAAGAGCTTTACAGATGACTTAATGCCAGGATGGGCTGCGTTATGCATTTGCTGAAATATTTTCTTGCGATAACTATCAGGTATATATGGTCTGATATTATTCGTTGAAGTTTTACACCACAGAGACTTCCCAGAAAGTAGCGAATACTGCTTGAAGTTCAGGGAAATTGCTGATGTCTTAAAATTTTGCAATTCTTTATCCATAATTTGTTCATCTGCAATTTTATCATACTCGATCAAAGAAATTTCTTCAGTTCTAGATAAAGTATCTGCAATGATGTTGTCTCGATGTCTGATATGTGCTGTACATCAGTTGAATAATTGAGAGACGTATTGTAAATCTTCAAAATGTTGAAGTACCGCTTTAATCGCCGAGTCTGAAGCATCTGTATATAATGACAGAAATAATTCATGATTCGGGAATAATAAGAGTGTTGTATTGACTAAATCAGCTTTGTATCGCTGAAATTGTTCCTTAGCTTCATCTGTCCACTGAATTTTTCGTTTATGTTTTTTCCGGGGTACTTTAAGGTAGTGGTGTAGGAAAGATTGCTTTTTTGATGATTTTTTTTAAATATCGCCGATAAAAATTAAGAAGTCTTAAGAATGTTCTGAGTTCGTGAATGGGTGTTGGAAGCTTGTAGTTAACAATAGTTTGGTCTTTGTCAGGTAAAGGTCGTGATCCTTGAGGAGTAATTAAATAACCTAAGAATTATGTTTCTTGTGTGCCAAAAGATGGATTTGGAAACGTTAAGGTGGAGTCCATAGGCATTTAATCTTTCAAAAACTACCTTCAAATGGATTCTGTGTTGTTCTTCACTAGCAGATGCTATCAAACTATCATCTAAGTATGGAAAACCGAAATTTAGACTAGAAAGAATAGTATTTATAAATCTTTGAAACGTTGCTGGTGCATTTCTTAAACCAAAGCTCATGAAATTAAATTTGTAATAATCCAATAGGTGTAATAATAGCAGTTTTACATCTGATTTCTTCGGCAATGGGCACTTCATAGGAGGCTTTAAGTAAATCTGGTATAAATATCCGTACCGTTTAAAATATGATGGAAGTCCTCTATACTAGGAATAGGATATCTTTCAGGAACTGTTCTATCGTTTAACTGTCTATAATCTCCACATGGGCGAAGAGTACCATCTTTTTTAGCACCACATGAAAAGGACTTGCCCATTGAGAATTTGAGGGTCTTATTATATTATTGTCCAACATGAATTGGAACTCTTGCTTAACTACTGCAAGCTTTCGGGGATTCAACTGCCTTGCTTGAGAGTGCACAGGTTCATCATGTGTTATAATATGATGTTCAACATTATGTCTTAAACCTGATAAGAACAAATTTGTTTTGCATAAGTCTGGGTATTGTTTTAGAAGAGTATTAAATTTTGTTGAATGGTTTACTGTAACAATATCACTGTTTTCACTGATGGAAGCAACTTCACCAGTTACCTTTAGTTGAGTTACTCCATCAGTCAGTTTCTTGCCATGTAAATCAATTATTAATTTAAATTTATTAAGGAAATCAGCTCCTAAAGTTCCTTTATTAATTTTAGACAGTATAAATAGAAATTGGAATTCACGTCTAAGTCCTAAATTAAGTGTTAACATTTTTATACCATATATTTCGATTTCGATACCATTCGCTGCATACAACCTGAAATCCGCGGATTGTTTTTCTTGTGCTGATGTAGGTAAAATGCTAACATCTGCACCGCTATCAACTAAGAAACGTACTTTCGATTTTTTATCTCTGATAAATATGCGAAATCGGCGACACTCTGGAACATTATCGGCAGTATAGCTTTCCGCCTCTTCTACTGCGCATTGTCATTTTCCTGATTGGATGACCTATCATTTGACCAACTGCGTGGCTGAGTACATTTATCCTGATGAAATTTGGTACCGAAAAGGAAATGATAAAAACAATAGATTCCTTTAGGATTAAATCTTTTCCTAGAAGTACTGCGGGATGGAGAGTTGTTCCTAAATCGTGGTCTCGATATATGATAAACAGTCATTTCGGCAATTCGCTGTTCAAGGGACTGAATTTTCATTAACAGTTCTGTATTCGAGCAATTATCCAGCTATTGATACACCAAAAATCTCTTTAGAAGGCGTCATATCTGAAATTTTGTCAGCCCAGATTGCCAACTTGGGTAATTCTTCGTCACTAACAAGTATTATATTACTTAGAGAATCCAGCAATTTCTCTCACCATAACGTGTTAAATAATTTTCGGACACATCCGATGTTGCAACAGATTTTAATTTTTGTAGTAATTGACAGGGTTTCAATCTGCCTAAGTCGATTCCTGTAAGAAGTTTTCTAATTCGAGTACTTTCGCTTTCCTTAAATAAATCCAGAAACCTTGTTTTGGATTCTGAATATTTAGTAGCGGAATTACATGTTACGATAACCCAGATGTTCTCAACATATTTGGGTTCTAACTGTGATATAAAATAGTTAAATTTCGTTTCTAAACAATTCCATTTATCTTAAACTGAGCCTCAACCTGCCGTTATAGTATCTTCGACAGTTTTATCGTCTTCAGACATATTCACTTTAAAATCAAAATTCCAAGTCACCAGTTATTGGCTCCTGACTCCAAACTGATCTTTATAATTAGAACTCCGATTCTTCAAATGGTAGGGTGTGAATTGCTCCAAATTTGATCGAAATCCCCGTCCCCCTCTTTTCTAATCCACGAACTGCGCGACGTTTCCTGCCCCCCATTTCTTTCCAAGAAGATTGGGTGCTACAAAAGTCGTTTATCGCCATTAATGGGACATTCTATTGAAACTGCAAGCCTTTGTTTTCGTTTATCAATATTTTAAAAATTGTGCATGTAAAACAAATATTAATTTAAAGTTTGGGGTGTACTAAAAAATAAATTTCTTTTACACTCATTTTAAAGTTTTATGATGCTTAAAGGAATGATGAGCCAGATCTTTTTTATTCTCTGTAAGAATTAAAAACTTTCCAAGTTGTAGATTTTAGTCGCTGATATCCTTTTTCCTTTCTTAAATTCTTAATCATTGCGACACGACAATTAGCCAGAAATTAATTAATTTCCATTCACTAGTATTTTCAAAAAAATCTTAACAGACAGTCTCACTCAGATAAGAACTCCACATATACATCCCTCAAGAATTCCAAGTCCCACCCACTACCATAACCCAAGTCTTCACCCAAGTCTTACCGACTGATATTATTCCAAGCCCCCACTGCCGCTAAGAATTTTCGGACACCCTACACTTATGAGTCAGACGCGAAGAGAACACTTTGCCAACTCCCCCACTAGAAAGAATGTAAGTTACTTAATACCTTTTCTGGCCTTTATATCTTCATGTACATTCACTGATCTTATTTATATTATTTTCCATATTATTTTTATATTGTCTTTGATTTGTTTTTACAAAGTTTGCATTATTTATCTTATTTTGTAATCTTCTATGTTTATTTCAACTTTACTTTGAATTCGATTTCATAATGACAATCTCCAATGTTTAATTTCTACAAATAATATAGTACTCAAATGCATAAACATGAAAGTGTCGGGGACGGTTACTCGAGTTAATTAGGATTTCTCTACAGTAATTGATTTTTACTCCAAATTGAATTGACTAAAATGCTTCATAAGAATAAGTTCTTTGAGTATCAGCATTGATTCATAATTCCTTCTATTCGCGGAAATATTTGGCCTGACTAGAATTGCCGGTTTGGCTTTAACTTATAACTCGAGTAAAGACGAAACACTTTCGTATTTACGTATTTTTATCAATTATTGTTCATTGAACGGGAGTTGGTTTGTTCCCCTTGAAAAGTCAACTAATTTCCGATCAATGACAATGATTACATGTTTTTAATTTTTTCCTTTTACAATTGAAATTTTATTCTTCATGATGATTTAACTCCAGTCCCCGTTAAAACATTATTAACATTTTGCTTTCAAATTACTTCAAAATATAACTTACCAGTATGGATTCACACTTTTAAAATAATTCTACTTTAATTAAACTTAGGAGATAATATAATCAATTAATCAATACTGTTTAGGAAATAAATTATTATTAACTAACTTTGCAGCAATTGCGCAAGTAGTAATAACTCGTTTTCGCACTAAATGGATTTAAGATCATACAAATATATATATATAAGTTTTATATATATATATAAGTATATATATATATATATATATATATAAGTTTTGAATAGTAAAATTGATAGATTAATGACATACACAAAACTGATACATAATCAACGTATCAAATATCGGATTTGTAGTTCACTTTAAATAAGTTTCTTGTCTAGATAAATATTAACAAATCTTTTTAGATAGTAGAATGGTTTTAACTTTCAAATTTACCATTTTAGGTAAACAGTTCTAATTTAATTAAAAAAATTATCTTTATTCAATCTAAAAATTGGACTTCTTAAGTCGTTCTAAATTCACACTAATATTATTGCAATATATTCCCGTATTAAGCTTTCAATTTTTATTCATTGGAGTTATTTTAAGGTTATTTAACTTTGTTACAAATTCCATATTTTAATACTAGAAACGTTTAAATATTTATTCTGTTTTCCACCTGATGTACTTTGGCATACATTTAATTTCTAATACACATTTAATTAATAAATAAATAATTATGAGCATCTGCAGAATTTTCATAATTAACCAAAAAAAAAAAAAATTCAAACTTCTTCAAAAAAAAAATCCCAGAAATTATATTCATATTCTGGGATTTTCAGTTCCCTTTTAATCCATTCCTTTTTCACACATATTGTTGCACTGTACTCAAGTTTTCATGTATGTAGAATTTATATACTTTGTATTGTATTTATGCCAATTTATATTTAAATGATAATTTTTACAAATTCTTGCATCACAACTCTAGTTAACAGAAGATGTTTCTAACACCTTGGGAAAGCTTAATCTTCAGCATGTAGCTTATTTTCCAACCTAGTTTCAGGCTGAAATATTTGTAAAATTAATTATTTGAAATTATTTGTTAACAAAGATGGTCGCTAAATCACGCTAATAATATTTCTAACTGTTGTAATTTATAATGCAACGAGTTCATGTGATTTATAATATAATTCATTTATAATTTTTTCAGTAGTATTTAAATTAATAGCAGATACCGATAATGTTATACATTTAGATTACAATGATTTAGATTGCCATTGCCTTCCTTTTCACGTATGCTTTTATGCTACATTCCTAAAATTTTATAATGGCATACAGATAAGTTTAACTCATTCACCAAACATATAAATCTCTAATTTAGCCCACTTTTTTTCTTATCTGTAATGTATCTTCTATTTTCCTTAATATATTGTTCAGCCTAATTTCAAAAGGTCTTATGATCAAGCGGAAAAGTCACTAAACATTAGTAGTTCGACCAGAGTTCCTAATCCCAGAGATCTCCCAGCTCTTTCCTTTTTTGTACTTATTTACTATGTAAAAATGTATTGTAAAAATTTCAGTTCATGAAGTAAAAATACTGTTTTAATTTATTCTTTAAAAATGTTGCAAAATTTTTCGGCTTAGTATACCTTTTTACAAATCCCTCTAATAAGAAAAAATAAGGAAAGAAGTTAACTCCTTTTCGGTGATTGATTCCTCGGTGCAAATTATATGTAACTTTTTCCAAAAGCATAGAGTTTATATGGATATCAATAAATTTAGATTATTTCTCCATCTAATTTTCTTAACATGTTTATTCCAGAATTTTCTTTTCACACTGTAGCGCTTAACTTTATGAGTTTTCTATAATCATTCAATTTCTCTACCCATGGCAACTTTGCATACCTTCTTTGCCATAATTAAATACACCAACACCACCCCACACCTTACTTTTATTGACTAAGGGTTTTTAATTTTCAGCCAACAAGCGATTTTTAACATTGTCAACTATTAACTATTGCTAACTAACTATTGCCTCACCACAATTTTTCAAAAGCCATTATAAGAGGTTCAAACTTATCAGGTAAATTAGCTAAAAGTATTTCCTGCAATTAATTCTTCGTCAGGTTTAACACCGGTGGATTTTAGTTGCTGATAAGCTGAAATGGCCCTATGTAAATAGTCAGACATATCCTTTCAATCAGTATTACGGGTATTCACTAATGTTGTAATTATTGAAACCTTTCTTGTGATTCCCTTATTCTCCATATGTTTCAGCTAATACTTTCCATGCTTCCTTTCCCTTGTTAAATCTCTTATAGCATTGAAAATAATTTCACTTACCCTTTCAACTATATATGACAAAGCTTTTGGTATCCTTTACTCGATCTTCTTTTATATCTGTTACTCGATCCTCTACATAAGCCCATAAATCTAATTTAATAAAGTGCATTTTCATGGAAAATTTCCAATCCATGTAATTTTCCCTTCTATTCAAGTGTTTGTGACTAAATGAACCTTCTCCCCCTGGCATTTTTTTTAAACTAAAAAAATCAACAAGAGACAAAAGATTATAATTTGAGATAAATTCAAATAGATTTTCTATTGAATTGCTTTTATTCTCAAAGAAACATTTGCCTAAATAATTAACAGTTAAAAAATATTTGTAATAGTTCAACTAGTTAAGCTTTTACAACCA